ACCTCCTCCTTCGTTCTCGCTTTTCGCTTTGTTTTTGTTGAATTTAAAACGCCTTTTAGTGTGAGTCTTGTGTTCTGTTGAGGTCGTATCGTCCATCATAGACTCCGCCAATGACGATGGCTCTTCCGCCGTTATTGAGTCTATGTTTATATCTACCTGGAGAACCGACTTGGTGACGTGGAGCGCTGTTGTTGGATTTTTATTTAGTTGGTTTGAAAGTGGGGTGTGACGTGGAGGATTTGTAATATAAATGTAGCGCTTTTTGTGGTGCGATATTTTGGATCTAAAAAGATGGGCGGCTATTGGTTGAGAGAAATTATTAAAAAATTAAATATCTTAATGAGGCGCGTGAGGGGGATGCCAATTATCGGATTGGCAATTTGGCATCACTGCCAGGTCAGAGTTTGAGCTGGTTGAAGCTACAAGGACAACCTTGCTTTCATCCTACGGCCACAATTTATTTTGACATCAGTGTTTTTTGAACGTATAAAGGATTATATATCCTTTTTTAAATAAAAATAACCGTTACCTAGCAATGGGTAAAAATCTTCTAAAAATGTAGATGATAATAACCCATTAAAGTGACCAAAATGATAGAGCCACCGAAAGTTGCGCATCGAATAACGTAGCAAAATTTTGACCGTTGATTAATATTAACTGATAATTAATCAACGGTTAAGATTTTGTTACGTCATTCGGTGCACAGATTCAGTACGTAACCTTCGGTGGCTGTAGCATTACTCTTAAAGTGGTATGTGAGTTGGGTTTAGAACGTTGTGAAACTGTTCAATCCATATCTAATATAGGTATTTAGGTATTTAGAGAATTTTTTCTTAGTACGAGAGGATCAGAAAGGGTGCATCTCTAGTGTACCAGTTATCGTACCCATGGTAAACGCTAGATAGTCAAGCTCTGTTTTAAAAATCGAATTAGACCAGTCGGTCTAACAGGGACCCGATGGCTTCTCCGGTCCAATTCAAGTCTTAGGGGGGTTTTATAATATTTCAAAATTGTAAGGGTTAATTTGTAATTTTATAGGAGTGTTTTGAAGATATGTCAAAAGTTTAGGGATTAATTGGTAATTTTTGGGGGTATTTTTGAAATAAATAAAAATTTTAAGGACTAATTAAACTTTTTTAGGGAATTTTTTGTAATATATTAAAATTTAAGGGATTAATATATAATTTTTAAAAAAGAAAATCACAACCGGTTGACCCGGACAGTAAAACGAGTTACCTTTCGATCTGCATTTTAAAACAATGAAGTCAAGTGAGGAGCGAATAACTACTAAAAACATCTAAGTAACAAGTGCACCTTAAAATGAGTGCTCTCCTATTATTTTTGTCTCATGAAAATTATAAAAAAATGTCGAACGACAATATAACCTATTAAACCATTACATCTTCTATAGCTCTAATGGTCCTTTTCTCTTCCTATTAAAGAAATAACATGTGAATTTTCGCCCATTTGTTTCGTATATGCATAATTTTTGACAAATTTTAATTAAACTTAATAACCATTTTAAAAACTTATAGAAAGGTAGACAAGTTTGGGAATTTACAAGTTCTAGGAAAACACCCCACAAATTATCCACATAAATTTCCCTTTTGTTGCTTTGATTTTAGGCCACCAAACAATGGTAATGAGTAACGACTGACAAGTTCTGATTTATTCCTTATTCTCGATACGATAATATTTTATTGAGTAATACAATCAGATAAAAATTACATAAAATTTATATAAAATAACTATTTTGTTCTTTGTTTTCTGTTTAGTTGTAAATATAACATTACTCCCCTTGATAACATGAAACCTTAAACAGATAAGAAAATTTAGGCTCCGTTTGGTTCATTATTGAGTAATTTTTAAAATAATCTTTAAAAAAAAGTTAAATTGGGTGAGTATTACAATGTAGAATTTTAAAAATTAACATAAATACCCCTATATTTATTTATTTATTAAATATCTCTATAATAAAATATTCAAAGTTAACAAAAACACTCTCAATCCACTCAAAAATACGGATAGCCGACCACCACCGTCAGAGGGTGGCCGGAGTTGTCTTATCGGCCATATGACCAGCTTGATCTTGCCCGTTATACGCCGATATGGTTTTTTTCGATCAGATTCACTGTGGATCTGGACGAAAAATGTCAGATCTGCTGCTAGATCTGGCCATTGACAGACAGATCTAGCCGCATTTGGTCGTCAACGACGACCATATCTTGGTCGTCGTTGACGACTGTCTACGGCCAAAGATCTGACCGTTCCGTCAATGGCCAGATCTTTGGCCGTATATCTGACCGTTCCGTCACCAGATCTTTGGCCGTAGATCTGACCTTTTCCGACCAGTTTCAACGTGGATTTGATCAGAAAAGGCTAGATCGGCACACTATCGACCAGATTCAACTGGTAGTGCGCCATTACACCGGATTCCGGCCAGCTTCCAACAGTGGTGGCCAAAATCTTGTAAATTTGGGTTACTGGGGTGTTTTTGTAACTTTTTAAAAAAAAATTAAGGGTTGTTTAATTAAATTAACAAATTTAGGAGGTTTAAGGAAATTGAAAAATTTATAATTATATTTTGGAAAATAGGTGAAACAAACTTAACTCTTTCGGGAAAACTAGAACCAAACGAAGCCTTCAGATCTGGCATTCTCTTTGCTAGGAAGAATAAAGTGAAAGCAAAGTTTGAAAAGAGAAGTCACTTTAAGTGGTGAGTTTGTAACATTAACTTACAGATGTACAATCCTAACATGGATCATGTCATTGCTAATGTGACATAAGTTAGATACACATTTTTCTTCAGATTAATGGATGCACAACAGAGATAAAACATCAGCTGTGAGCCACTACAAGATCATCTTCTAGCTCTGACATTTCACCTACCTATACCAAGTACACAAATTTCTGCTTAAATATCAACATTTGAAACCTGCCCTCCTTGACACTACAACACCTATGACTTCTTCTTCATTGTTAATGGTTTCTGAAAAACAAAAACCTGTCGCTAGTTCTACTCCCATCTGACTACACCGTCGTCATTCAGAATCACTGTCTGAATCTAGAAAGCTAAATTCTCTGTATCCGTCAAGCTTTACTAGAACTGTTCCTCGGTTCTCTTCACTCCATCGCAAATTTTCCTTTTCTATAAGATTAATGACCTGCACAAAGCAAACTACATCATGTGCAAACACATACAACTAATTATGTTCCTTCAAATATAACACGAGTTCTTAAAGGAATTGTGTCCATGATTAATCAAGAACTTTAGGAACAAAAGTCTGGAAAGTTCACCAGCCAGCCTTTAAAATTCCAACTAGTGCAAACATTCACAGAAAAGGTGATTGAGTGTAAAGACTATATAGTAGCATGAACCTTCCCATGCCACACCTCAACAGGAATGTGACTAGGTTATACAAAACTGATATGTTGATCAAATCAGGTTTTAATGCCAACGATATATACATTCATAACTTTTACCTGATTTTGGAAATTAAAAAAAAAAAAAAAAATACTGTGTACGCGTTACGTGACTGCATAACTAATCTAGTAATGGGTCGATTTAGTGGATTTACTGGTGGAGGGGAACCCAAAACCTTGTAACAACCATTACTATATTAATATGAACTAACTGTTTTATTATTACAAATATATGACCACTATGCACTATCAGAAGACATGATGGTTCAACATGATGGTTCAATCAGTTTCCCTGCGCACACATAATCCTGGCTATGTTTCCAACTACATATACCTCTTAAAGATACCAAATTGGCCGTCACAACTACAAAGAATTGAAAGTTTTTTTGTTTGACTAATTTTACACAAGGGGTATTTAGCAGTGATCTACCCTAAAGTTCTATAAAAATGTCGTTTTAGCCCAAACATTTTGAAATTATCAAGACATCTCCTCTCAAGCATTGTTAATTAAAGGTAAATGATGATGGCCTTATAAAAATTTTATGAATGCCCTCTGATTTACATTCAAAGTAATGATAATAACAATTGTGACATTTCCTTTTTGATGAATGGCATTTCACAATGCTCTTAAAAATTCATATAATTGCACCTATGGTTTTGTGATTTAACATTTGACCACTTTTAACATAAACAAAGGCTATAATCATCACACCTATTAGGTATGCTAATAAAACTATTGTTCATTGTGATGCATGAGAGATTGTATGATTTTTCCTCGATTTCCATTGACAATGAAAAACTTAATGTTATGTTAGCTTACTTTCCATGTCAATGTTCCACATTACAATTGAAAGAAATTTAACAAATAAGATCAAGGTAACTGATGAGACCCCATTTCTAATATGCCCATTTTTTCGTACATGCATAATTTTGACAATTTTAATTAAACTGATAACCATTTTAAAAACTTATAAAAAGGTAGACAATTGGAATTAACATTCTAGGAAACACCCCACAAATCACCACATAAATTTCCCTTTTGTTGCTTTGATTTTAGGTCACCAAACATGGTATGAGTAATGACGACAAGTTCCGATTTATTCCTTCCTCTCGATACAATAATGTTTTTGCTGAGTAATACAACTAGACAAAATTACACAAAATTTGTAGAAATACTATTTTGTCCTTTGTTTTTTCATTAGTTGTAAAAATAACATTACTCCCCTTGATAACATGAAGCCTTAAACCAATAAAAAATAAAACAAAAAAGCATTAGACTTTTTTGCGTCTATCACCTGCAATTGGTGCAACAAATGAAAATACCCTATGGTATTCAATATTAGCCTACACACTATAAACTATAGTGGAAAAAATATAAGCCGCACCCTAATCCATGACGAAGCATAAACTCAAAACTTTAAAATTTAATTTAAAAAAAAAAAAAAAAAATCCATTTCCTACCTTTGACAAAATTGAAGTTAAGAAGCAAAAACAAAGCATAAATACCTTATAAACGTCTACGGGCAGGCGGATAATGTAGATAATAAGCAGTCACTCTGCAGCCACATTCCTTATAAAACAAGAAAACGTTATCAAAGTTCAAACACCACATTTATCATCTCAAATATCCCACCATTCACCACAGTAACAAGTAAGCAGTTGAAACAACAAACACTAGTTCTAAATTATTCCGACGCTTAAATTAAAGCACTAAACTTCAACCACCACACAGACAAATCAAAAACTCACTGACTCATTCAAGCAAACACCTAGACTCAGCCAAACACAATAGCGACATAAAGAGACTTTATTTATTGACAAACACAATAAAGGTAATCGAAATTTTACTTCAACTCTCCAAGCTCTCCGTGTGTCCTTCGTTGTTCTTCATCCTCTTCCGTTGATTCACGATGTTCGAGAAATCGGTAGACAAGTCCGAGTAAATCGAGATGACCTTCAAGATATTGCCATTAATCTCACGAATTAAGCCGACGTTCTTGGCGATATCATCCGGAATCTTCGATTGGTGATTCTCGTTGGCTTGTTGAATCAGTTCGCGGTTCTTATCCAGTAAGGTCTGTACACGCCTGAAACTTTTGCTCAGCGTACCCCAGGCTTCCACGTCAACCTCCGCTTGTTCTCCAAGAGTATCATCGTCACCTTCTTCACCTCCTCCTTCGTTCTCGCTTTTCGCTTTGTTTTTGTTGAATTTAAAACGCCTTTTAGTGTGAGTCTTGTGTTCTGTTGAGGTCGTATCGTCCATCATAGACTCCGCCAATGACGATGGCTCTTCCGCCGTTATTGAGTCTATGTTTATATCTACCTGGAGAACCGACTTGGTGACGTGGAGCGCTGTTGTTGGATTTTTATTTAGTTGGTTTGAAAGTGGGGTGTGACGTGGAGGATTTGTAATATAAATGTAGCGCTTTTTGTGGTGCGATATTTTGGATCTAAAAAGATGGGCGGCTATTGGTTGAGAGAAATTATTAAAAAATTAAATATCTTAATGAGGCGCGTGAGGGGGATGCCAATTATCGGATTGGCAATTTGGCATCACTGCCAGGTCAGAGTTTGAGCTGGTTGAAGCTACAAGGACAACCTTGCTTTCATCCTACGGCCACAATTTATTTTTACATCAGTGTTTTTTGAACGTATAAAGGATTATATATCCTTTTTTAAAGAAAAATAACCCTTAACTAGTAATGGGTAAAAATCTTCTAAAAATGTAGATGATAATAACCCATTAAAGTGGTATATGTGAGTTGGGTTTAGAACGTTGTGAAACTGTTGGATCCATATCCAATGGGGGTGTTATAGCATTGAGAGGATTTTTTTTCATATAAAAGGACTAGAAAGGATGCATCTCTGGTGTACCAGTTAGGGGTGTTCGGTTCTAGGTACCCCATATTTTTTTAAGGAACCGGAACCAGAATCGATGGTTCCTTAAAATTTGGAATCAGAATCGAAACCAACGGTTCCTATTCTTAGGTACCCAGAATCAGAACCTGTAACAACGGTTCCGATTCTAATTTTGGGTACCCTGTAAAATTACATGACCCCTCAAAAGTTTGTTAAATGGCAAAAAAACCCTGAAAAACTTACAAATACCCCCCCACCGAGCACTTGTTAACAAAAATACAATTACAAATTATAAATTCAAAATTCAAAATTACAAACTTCATTACTTTGTAAAGATAGATTCTCAAAAGTCAAATCAATTTACTTTAAATGTTACGAAATATAAATATAAATGTATTCACATTACTTTTTCTACAAAAGTTTTTATTTACCCCCCTAATCTTTAATTTTATTTTATATTAGTCTTGGTTCCTGGTTTCTGATTCTGGTTCCTAACTATAGGAACCGGAACTAGAACAACACAGTAACGGTTCCAAAAATTTGGAATTAGAACCTACCCGTTGACGGTCGGTTTTGGGTAGGAACCGAAACCGGAACCAAACCTCAGGTACCCATTGGTTCTAGTTCTAACAGGTTCTTTTGAACACCTCTAATACCAGTTATCATACCCATGGTAAACATTAGGTAGTCAAGTAGGGAGCGAATAACTACTAAAAACATATAAGTAACAAGTGCACCTTAAAATGAGTGCTCTCCTATTATTTTTGTCTCATGAAAATTTAAAAAAAAAATGTCAAACGACAGTATAACCTATTAAACCATTACATCTTCTAAAGTTCTAATGGTCCTTCACTCTTCCGATTAAAGAAATAACATGTAAATTTTCGCCCATTTCTAATATGCCCATTTGTTTCGTACATGCATAATTTTTGACAAATTTTAATTAAACTTGATAACCATTTTAAAAACTTATAAAAAGGTAGACAAGTTTGGGAATTTACAAGTTCTAGGAAATCACCCCACAAATCATCCACATAAATTTCCCTTTTGTTGCTTTGATTTTAGGTCACCAAACAATGGTTATGAGTAATGACAGAAAAGTTCCGATTTATTCCTTCCTCTCGATACAATAATGTTTTGCTGAGTAATACAACTAGACAAAAATTACACAAAATTTGTAGAAAATAACTATTTTGTCCTTTGTTTTTTCATTAGTTGTAAACATAACATTACTCCCCTTGATAACATGAAGCCTTAAACAGATAAGAAAATTTAGGCTCCGTTTGGTTCATTATTAGGTAGTTTTTAGAATAATCTTTTGAAAAAAGTTAAATTGGGTGGGTATTACGATGTAGAATTTTAAAAATTAACATAAATACCCCTATATTTATTTATTTACTAAACACCCCTATATTAAAATATTCAAAGTTAACAAAAACACCCCCAATCCACTCAAAAATACGGATAGCCGGCCACTACCATCAGATGGTGGCCGGAGTTACTTTACTGGCGTCGATATGGCTTTTTCCGACCAGATCCACTGTGGATCTAGATGAAAAAGACTAGATCTGTGACTAGATTTAGCCATTGAAGGATAGATCTGACCGCATTTGGTTGTCAACAACGACCAAAGATCTGGCCAGATCTTTTGCCATAGATCTGGCATTTTCTAGTTAGATCCAACGTGGATTTGGTCGGAAAAGGCTAAATCGGCGCACTACTGGCCAGATTCAGCTGATAGTGCGCCATTACACCAGATTCCGACCAGCTTCCGACAGTGGTGGCCAAAATCTGGTAAATCTAGGTTACTAGGGTGTTTTTATAACTTTTTTTAAAAAAAATTTGAGGTTAACAAATTTAAGAGATTTAAAGAAAATTGAAAAATTTAGAATTATATTTTGGAAAATAGGTGAAACAAACTTAACTTTTTTATGTGAACCAAACGAAGCCTTGAGATCTGGCATTCTCTTTGCTAGGAAGAATAAAGTGAAAGCAAAGTTTGAAAAGAGAAGTCACTTAAGTGGTGAGTTTGTAACATTAACTTACAGATGTACAATCCTAACATGGATCATGCCATTGCTAATGTGACATAAGTTAGATACACATTTTTCTTCAGATTAATGGATGCACAACAGACATAAAACATCAGCTGTGAGCCACTACAAGATCATCTTCTAGCTCTGACATTTCACCTACCTATACCAAGTACACAAATTTCTGCTTAAATATCAACATTTGAAACCTGCCCTCCTTGACACTACAATACCTATGACTTCTTGTTCATTGTGAATGGTTTCTGAGAAACAAAAACCTGTCGCTAGTTCTACTCCCATCTGACTACACCGTCGTCATTCAGAATCACTGTCTGAATCTAGAAAGCTAAATTCTCTGTATCCGTCAAGCTTTACTAGAACTGTTCCTCGGTTCTCTTCACTCCATCGCAAATTTTCCTGTTCTATAAGATTAATGACCTGCACAAAGCAAACTACATTATGTGCAAACACATACAACTAATTATGTTCCTTCAAATATAACACGAGTTCTTAAAGGAATTGTGTCCATGATTAATCAAGAACTTTAGGAACAAAAGTCTGGAAAGTTCACCAGCCAGCCTTTAAAATTCCAACTAGTGCAATCATTCAGAGAAAAGGTGATTGAGTATAAAGACTATATAGTACCATGAACCTTCCCATGCCATGCCTCAACAGGAATGTGACTAGGTTATACAAAACTGATATGTTGATCAAATCAGGTTTTAATGCCAACGATATATACATTCATAACTTTTACCTGATTTTGGAAATTAAAAAAAAAAAAAAAAATACTGTGTACGCATTACGTGACTGCATAACTAATCTAGTAATGGGTCGAATTAGTGGATTTACTGGTGGATGGGAACCCAAAACCTTGTAACAACCATTACTATATTAATATGAACTAACTGTTTTATTATTACAAATACTTGACCACTATGCACTATCAGAAGACATGATGGTTCAACATTATGGTTCAATCAGTTTCCCTGCGCACACATGATCCTGGCTATGTTTCCAACTACATATACCTCTTAAAGATACCAAATTGGCCGTCACAACTACAAAGAATTGAAAGTTTTTTTGTTTGACTAATTTTACACAAGGGGTATTTAGCAGTGATCTACCCTAAAGTTCTATAAAAATGTCGTTTTAGCCCAAACATTTTGAAATTATCAAGACATCTCCTCTCAAGCATTGTTAATTAAAGGTAAATGATGATGGCCTTATAAAAATTTTATGAATGCCCTCTGATTTACATTCAAAGTAATGATAATAACAATTGTGACATTTCCTTTTTGATGAATGGCATTTCACAATGCTCTTAAAAATTCATATAATTGCACCTATGGTTTTGTGATTTAACATTTGACCACTTTTAACATAAACAAAGGCTATAATCATGGCACCTATTAGGTATGCTAATAAAACTATTTTTCATTGTGATGCATGAGAGATTGTATGGTTTTTCCTCATTTTCCATTGACAATGAAAACCTTAATGTTATGTTAGCTTACTTTCCACGTCAATGTTCCATATCACAATTGAAAGAAATTTAACAAATAAGATCAAGGTAACTGATGAGACCATCAGATTTGTTGTATACAATAGGAAATCCAAGAGAGGCAAGTCGGGGATTATGGGGTTGTGACAAGAAGTTTCAGCTGAGTGTGGTGTTAGATGAGGTGTTAAAAATTAGTTATTAGGAGGACAGATGGCAGTAATTGGTGGGATATGTGTAGAATTCTGTTAGATAGAAAAGAGAATAAAAGGGAGGCCAAAAAGAGAAGAAGGGACATGGGAAAACTGAAGGGAAAACAGGGGAGGATGCTGACCCTCGAAGTTTAGCCTGGCTCTTAAATCTTTTTCTGTCTGTTTTGTTATTTTTCTTTCATGTTTGCATTGAGGTTGGCTAATTCCATCTTGGTATAAGCTTTTATCCTCTTCTTTGCTAATATATATATATAAAAAGCTAAGTTCTTCAGTTCTGGTGTTTTCCGTTGATTTGCCTTATATTCTGATTTTATTGCTTAAAGTGTTTGCTCTCTGTTTTATCTGAGTTGATTGAGGAGTGGGTTCCAACAGTTACAGAAAAAAAAAAAAAAAAGAATTGACACTATTGTTATTGTCATCATTTTTAATGTAAATCAAAGGGCATTTTAGAAATTTGACGCAACTAGCCAACATTACAGTTGATCAATAGCTTTGAGGGTTGTCGGTGATAAATCCAAAACATTTGTATTGAAATGGCAGTTTTATCAAGCCTCAAGTCATTGCAAATACCCCTTTTACACAAAAGACACAACAAAAGTAGATGAAGTGAGATGACTAGAACCCATACCGACTGTTTCAGTTTTGACTTTCCTACACCATGTGAGCCACATCCTGTGATAACCCTCAGAGTTTGAATTGCTGAATAGAAGAAAGAAACGTAAGTACAAAACTAAAAGAATACAAATTGCATGTCAAAAGATACAGCTTACTTTCTGTCAGATACAAGATAAGCATACAAGACAGATAAAAGAGGATTCAGAAAAGAATAATACTACACCAACAACCCTCTCTCACAAACTTTCTCTCACAACCCTGACATGACAGTTTGCAATTGGTCAGTTCACAATGGGTCCCACATGGGTCCCGCATGAGTCTCACCAATTAATTGTAAGCTGCCACGTCAGAGTTGTGAGAGAAAGTTTGTAAGAGGGTTGTTGGTATAGTATTACTCTTCAGAAAATGCTTACATTGAACATATGATCCGAAAAGGAGGTGAAGTTTAAATAGCTTCATTGCTGGCTTGACATGTTGCCCATGCAAATCAATTGTTATCACATTTTCTATGTCCCTATTTCTGCAATTACAGGCAATAGCTTAGTTCATTTAAGAACATTAAAAAAGCAAAACATAGAACATGAGCAATAGCTATGCCACCCAACCTCGCTTTAAATATATCCTGGGTCGCCTTTTCATCTGCCTGTCGAGCTAATTTAGTCTGTGACTTCCCCTATAAGCAAGAAAACAGGTCAAGATTTTACGATCAAGCATCCACTATTCAACATAAGACATCACATTAATCTCCAAACAAGATGAGAATATAAGAAAGTCATTGTGGCCTGAGTCCTGCCATTATGTATCATATAGTCACAATGACACTGCTTGAAGGCATTTTAACCAAAATCAAAATCATATTCAACAAAAGCATGACCATATTATATTCAAATGTAGGCAAATCTGCATCCAGAGGGCTCCTAAGAAACACCAACTAATAACATTAAGTATCCAAAACAGCTACATTTGCAATGCCGGAAAACGATCAGACGTTCCATATCTTAACATTCTGGTTTTTCATAAATCTTAAAGGTGCCAAAAGAGGCTGTAAGATTCGGAAGCAAATAACAGATTGTGTATGACTGTATTGCTGTTTTCGTCTCTTATTTTTTTCCACCTATGAAAAATTAAGTAACCTATACATGAAATCAAATGAATAGAACCGATGTAGGAAGCTGAAATTCAGCTTCCAGTTGATCATTTACAGGATCTTTCTCAGCTAACAGTTAGCAACTATATGTTGTTGATGACTCCTCAATGAAATAGCAAATAAATACTAAAATCTACAAACCTGATCAGAAAGATAAGCTGCATACTGCCAATCCCCCTTTGAATACGCTGCTGTGGCCTGTAGTAGAATGTAGCTTTTATTAGACAATTTATATATATATATCTTCATATCCACTTCATGAACTTGAATACGGTATCATGAAATCACCGAAGTCTGGTAAAAAACAATAAAATTGCCAAACCTTCTGATAGGAGGATTTCATTGAATCCCAGTGCTGCTTAGCATCTTTTCTATACACATGATATTCAGCTCCCTTGGCTACATATTCAAGAGAAAAAAACAGTAAGGAAAAAGCAACAGCCAAATAACAATTATCCATTATGCAAGCATTAAACAAATTATTAAATAAGGATAAAGCCATGACAAACATTTTGCAAAAATAAAGCATCATAGAGATATGTTCAATACCACAAAGCTCCCGCTGAGATTCTGTAACGCCAGAAGGGCAAACATCAAATCGGGGTCCTACTGACTGCAATTTCTTTACTACATTCCTCCAATTCATGGTGTTTGGTTCATGTTCAGGACTCTTGGAGATGTTAAACAAAGATTCCAACACCTCTTGAGGGAGGTCAAACTTGCTACTTGGCTTAGTTGGAGATGACACTTCAGAAGTAAGAACCTTCGAATAATTCCTTCAATGCATAAACAGACAAGCTTTTAGGTTCAGGTTCCAAACACTCGGTTCTTCAATGCAATGAAACTCGAAATTGAACTTGGACCAGTATAACAGGATACTATAAATGCATTCCACAACCTTTCCTGATGTAGTGGACAAATATTATATATCTAAAATAAGTATTCCGTAAAATAAGAACATGGTACCAGATGAAGTAACATTATTGATCACCTGAAGTAAATTCTGTACTACATTAGCAAGTACACGATATACACACCACAGGTGTCTTGCCATAGTGCTATATGCAGTCACAATGGAGTTTATGAAAAGTATTTAAGGCCTATGTTTTGAGGCTCACTGCAACGTGTAGCTTAGGGAGATGCAAGCTTCATGGGTAAAAGAATTACAAAAGAAGAAGCCTGAAGAATGAGTCTTGTGTAACAAACATTCAAGCATTAAGATTCCTCATGCTGAGAAATAAATGCTCATGAGAAGTTGCAAACTAAATGCAAGGCGCTTTCATCACATAATTTAGAACCTGATTTCCACTTTTTAATCTCAATATTTATACAAAATGATATCCACAGAGCTAAAATCAATAAAATTCTAATGTAGGAAACAAAATCCACCAGAAACAACAAACATAAGATCTTCCACTATAATGAAAAGACATCAATAAATAAAATCATTCCTATCTACTCCAAACAGTTTTCTGAAGTTGGACAAACAAAGAAAAAAAAAATTTAAAACATTTTTTATTAAACACTAGCTTATAGTAACTTGCCAATGCCCTCACAAATTTCTCTAGAACTTTAAAAAGGGAGAGGGAGATGCCAAAGAAAAACAGCAGCAACAACAATAATAATGGGTCGGAATGAATTACCTGCAATTAAAACCCACAGACCATATACTATCATATAGATCATGTTCAGATGAGAGAGAAGTGCAATCAGATACTTCTGTCAACTGTTACAAAAATCTCAAGATCACTAAACAAAAAATGAATTAAATAATCAAAATAAATATTCTTCAAAGATGGAATATTAACCTCAAACAATAAATAAATGTACAGGATTAATACAGACAGCATAAGTTATCAGAAGTTGATTATTTAAAGGCTCATAGTATAAGCCTTAATTACATCTATACTCCTTTTTTGCTGGTAAGAATCCTTAATCACTTCTATACTGGAAACAATACGCCAGCTCAGTTGCAGAAAGAAAATAACAATCAAAAGAGTTGGAACCACATGGATCATATTTTCTTAGTATCTCTTTTCATGACCTTATCACTAAATTTTTCGTGTATGGATGCTGAATTAGATCTTTGGCTATTAGTTCACTGAGACTAAATTTACACATTCAAACATCAAATCTACTAGTCATTTAAACCAAGGATGTTAATTTATCAAGATCCAATAACTAATTAACCTCTTCTCCTGCATGGTACAACATAATGAGAAGTCTTGGTCGGGGAGGGAAAAGGAAATTTGTCTAGCATTTGTTATCTTGAATAATCTAAGAAAGTGAAAACTTTGCCATACAGTCACACTACCAGTAACAAGAAGTACAAGTCACAAGCTTACACAAACAAAAAATTATTTTTAACGCACTAAGATTTAATAGAATACATAATAGTACTTACATTGTCACTAGATCCAATGCCAAATGTTGCATCTTCCTTAAGGTTAAAATCATCATTGCAGTTCCCATACTGTTCGTTGGAGGAAGCTGATAAAGCAAGCAATGCCTCCAAGGCCTACAGAAGAAATTTAAAGACTAAAAAATTAATATTATCAGAAAAAGGTAATGTGCATATACACATAAGCTAACAACCATATAGGCAAAACAATTTTTCCAAATGTAGCTCTCTCATTTTTTTTTTCTTTTTCTTTTCTCAACCACTGCTTTACCACCTGTACCCAGCAAAATTCCAAACTAACCTACTGATAAGGCCATCAGCCCATAAAAACCTATAATAAAGCACAAAACTCCAAGTCCTACAAAGAAGATAATTAATATGCATAAACAAATATTAAACTACTTAGCGAATCATCCATGGTAAATTATACTATCACATTTAGCATCCCTGAACTTTTGTAGAATGTATGATTCACACCAATGAATTTTTCCTTAGAATAATATTCCAATTAAATAATAAGACCCTAACCAAATTTTTGAGAAGTGTTAAAATAAGAGACCTCTGGAAATAATATTTTTATCCTATAGAAAAAATAGTTAAAAATATATTTCAGAGGTATCAGATAATATTGCATATAACAAAGAATTGCAGTATTCAACCATGCTACATTTGTTTTTACATGAAAATCTGTCCCATACCTTTAGTTCAACATCCAGAAACCAAGAAAACACACAGAGACAGTAGTTGCAAGAAAAAAAACATTTTTCACTTACTAAAAAATAAGGAGAAGAAAAGATGCAGCAGAAACCAAGAAAACACACAGAGACAGTAGTTGCAAGAAAAAAAACATTTTTCACTTACTAAAAAATAAGGAGAAGAAAAGATGCAGCAGAAACCAAGAAAACACACAGAGACAGTAGTTGCAAGAAAAAACATTTTTCACTTTCAAGAAAATGCCATTGCATATAGGTTGAGAGGTAAAGATCAGATGATCTCTCTTTCATTGAATGGCTAACAATTATAACCACGCTAAAACCTCACCAACAAATATTAGTACTTATGTTAATCTTACATAAACTTAAAAAATGAAAATTTCATCAGATGGAAAAGAAATTGAGACAGGATTAAGTGAGAATGACAATAATACCTTTTCAACATTATAGCCGCACTGACCTGCAAAGAAAAAATTTAGGTCATGCAATATACAACTGCAATTAACTATTACATAGAAAATCCCAATTAGCTACTAGATAAAACAAGTCTTTGCTTGGTTTTATTCAGGAAACAGCGGTTAAGCACAGGCATGAATAGCAACATGTCAAAAACAGCCTTTCAAACATTGCTTTACGAAAGAAAGAAGTTCAAGAAATAGGTTGACATACAGTGCCATGAGTAACTGACAAACAACAGAATTCGTAACTAGGTACAGAGGCAGATAACTAGTATGAAAAGTATAACCCAATCTCAATAGGATGAGCACTGGAGAAAACTGCTAGGCTATAGTATGTCAAATACCTAACCAGGAGGAATTTAAAATTCTAATCTCTTGGAGAAAAAACAGTCAAACATCCAATCCACCCCTTTAGATTGTTAAGGTAAATAACTTGAGTAGTAAAGAATAAAATATCTTGATATTTTAATTTTTAGGTCGTAGTTTCTTATTAGTTCAGGTTCTCTTCTTTTTCAGTACTTTCCTAGCATAATTCCTATGTATTAGGGTTGTTAACACTAATCTCAGAAATTAATAGTAGGTACATCGTCCAACAGTCCATCTTATCTAACACAACATTATGAATCATTATCACTTCCAGTCCCTCTACTACATTTAATTTCTTCACAATCTAACTCCTAAAAACATCAATTCTGCAATCAAACAGCATCACTCCACTATCTGATTACAATACCATAAACACTCCTCCAAACAATTTCAAAACGAAGTTCTAATGTCACTTATCAAAATTCTATCCGGTGGTCTACAAGAATTACACTCCTTTTAAACAAATCACAGCCATCAAAATTCAAACCACCATCAACCTACTGTAACTATTTTACAACTCAACTCAAACAGTACTACAACCTCAACCGACAAACCTCCTACAAACAGCTTATTGAACAATATAAATATAACAAAATGCATAGCTCACTGACAACTGACCTAGCACATCTTTGACCACAGCCATACTCAACTCGCTATCTTTACCAAGCATCGAGCACAAAAACTGCTCCACCTCTTGTTCATCAAGCCAATTCCGATCATCAACAACTTCCTTGAATTTCCCTGTTTTTCTAGGACTCGCCCTCGCGTACTCCTTCCCCAACACATTCGCCACCGTTCCGGTAACCGCCACCACTCTCTTCTGCCTACTCGTCCCCTTCTTCACCGTGTTCTGCACACAGCTCGTCTCAACATACCCCACGCTCGAACCCGAGCTCGAACCTGAATCCAAACCCCAAGATCCGCCAAAAACCGAACTCGTAGTCGACGGATCTTCACTATTCTCCGACAACATCGTCAAAATCTCCGCCGTTTTGTTCGCATCAACGTCAGCTTCTTTAAGAGAGACATCCTCAAATGCCTCCGTCAACGAGCTAACATTTTTGTTCTGACTTTCATCTTCCGGTCCGCCACGTGGCAAACCGTTAGTTGTTGGTTTGACAGCGGCGCGTGAGCGCCTCTTCTTCTTCTTAGACTTGGTGTCCTTCATGATCTCCGGACAGAAACAAACTCAACGGCGGTGAATTTGTGAACGGTCAGAGACGGAGGAAACCTAGGGGTAAGAATAACAAAAAAATGTAAAACTTAAGGACGAGAATACAAATTTAGAAAAGAGGCAGTCGTGGGAACGGAGCTGGCGTCGGTGTTGCTGATTGTGGTTGTGGTTGTGGCTGTTAGTGCGGAGAGAAATTCATAAAAAATTTGCGATTGATTTTGACTACGTATCTGAACTTGAGAATTTAAGAATCTCAGGCACATTACATGAACGCGTAATATGGGTTGACCCCACGCGCTATAGTAGAATCTGTGTCAACTGTTTTGGATTAAATTATAATTATGGACGATTTTTAATAATTAAAATTTAAAGAAAATATATATAAATATTTGATATTGGGCGTTGGCTTATTGTTTTTATCATATTTTCAATCCTATTCTTCAAATATTGTTGGACACATTATTCCCAAAATATTAGTCTATTTTTTTAATTACGTTTAGACTCCATAAGTTTATTGATTTCATTAAATATCCCCAGAAAAAAGTTTAAAAACTAACAAAAACACCCCAATCCACCAATACTTATCAGATTCCAACAACCATTATCGGTGGTAGTCATAATCTGTCACAATAGTCACAAAACCACCAGAAATAGCTGGTAATGGCCAGATCTGGCCGTCGTTGATGGCCAAATATAGCCTTTTTTCGGTCGTCAAAGGCCACATCCGACCTTAGATCTGGCATTTTCTAATCAGATCCATGGTGAATCTAGTCAGAGAAGGCCATAACGACGCGTTACAACACAAATCCGACTAGTCTGTGTCATAACGTAATTTTCTGACCAAATTCTGGTAGTGGTGGTCAAAATCTAGCATTGCAGGTGGTAGGGGTGTTTTTGTTATTTTACAATATTTTAATATATTAGGGTGTTTATTAAATTAGCAAACCTTGAGAGTTTTTTCATAAATTTTTAAATTTTATCTCGTAATACTCTCTTATCCAACTATCTAATATTATCTTCAAAATCCTATCCAAAATAATAAACATTCCTGTTAGTCTCTTTTAAAAACAAGGAATCGATTTTATGGGGGCAAAAATTTAGGGATAGATTCTGGTAAGAAAAGAATCTTATTTAATAATAAATAGTGATGTAATTGTTTGTACAATGCGTTTCCTTTTACTAAGAAATCAAAGCATATAATTAAAGTGAAACTATAAAGGCTCTAAAACGTATTATTAAAGGGATATCGAATTTAATTTTTCTTAATTATTAATAATAATGACTAATAAAAGATTTATCTCATTATTAATTTTATAATTTATAAATAAGTCAGCAAATTTATCTACTCATTAACTTTAAAGTCTTAAAAATTAATTATTATAAAATAGAAGGTGGGCTTCACTTAATTTCCACTGGGAAAAAGAGACTTTCCAATTAATCAACGTTATCTCCCAAACGGAAAAGTAAAGTTGAATGGGTTGTCTTGTCATGTCAAAATCAGAGTAACAGCAAAACTTTTAAACAAGCGAATACTAATCCAATGGTTAGAAATTTTTCTAAGCGAATACTGATTCCCTCTTCTTCAACCGCTCATCTTCAATGGTTTAAAAAATAAGATACTATTATACGAAGAAAACCCTCTCTCTTAAGTCTTCTACACGGAAATAATCTTTATATAGTACTAAAAAATTATAGTTTTAATTTAAACTAATTATAAATAAGAATAAATTTTATATTATAATAAATTATAATTTTTCTAAATTTTATCTTAAAAAACTTATCTTTATATAATAATAATTTTATATAGATAATAGATATATATATATATATATAATATTTACAAAAAATTATATTATGTTATATTAAAAATTTAATATAAAATAAAATATTATTAAAATTGTTTAAGACAATGATTTATGTTTTAAAGTTGTTACCATATCTTTTATCTTACGGGTACGTAATAAGCTGACACAATGAACACTTTTTTGTTGAAGCCAAAATATTTCTAGCTTTCAAGCATGTTCACAACTTCAGGGCATGAAATTTTTGGTATTATCGTACTATCATACTTAAAGATTATCTTCTTCATCTTCTTGTCTAATTCAAGTAATGATTTCTTCTTTAGTTAAAACATACCCGACTTATTGCTCATTTGGATGATTGAAAAAAACATTAATATTCATTTGATTAAGATAGTGAAGTTGTCGAATCTAATCACTCAATTTTACAATAACTCTTTGATATCAATTTCCGTAGTATTCTAATACTACTAAAACAATGAATTAAAATCATAATATTACTAAAACATGAATTATAAAATAAGAAATCAAAACAATAATTCTTGTAACTACACCTTTATTAAATTATAACTTTCTTATAGTAATAAATTTAATTGGTCCCAACATTATAACTATAAAGAGGTTTTACTTGTACGACCCTTATAGTTTGCATCTATATCATATGGAGAATGAATTTATAGATTTATAAAACAAAATTAAAAATCAGAGTATTATATAAAACAATTTTACATGTGTGAATGTGCCAAATTAAATAAGTCTTATAGATTTATAAAACAAAATTAAAAATCAGAGTATAATATATAATAATAAAAAGTCAAAAAAATAATAAATATAACTTGTACTAATAAGAAATAAAATTTCATCAAAATTACTGCATAAAATGACTAAAAATATGTCAGTATACATCTGCCAACTAAATAAATAATATAAAATTATAAATTATAAAACAAGAATAAGTCAATAAACGATCACTTTTCAAACCCAGAGGGTTAAAAATTTTACCAAGTTCTGATTTTCTGCCGTTTAACCCACCTGATTGTCCGGATTGTGCATTGTGATTCTAGGTTTCAATTTTAGGCTAAAATGTTGTGTTTGAAAATTGAAAATTTGGGGGTTTCTGAATTTTTATTTTGGACTAAAAGTTATACTTGAGAGTGGGGGGTAAATTAGTAATTGATTATCTCGATTTGTCATCTATTTCAATGTTCGAATTGGATGGAAACCATATTTTTGGGCTCTACCAATCCAATCGACAGTTAAATTTTCCCAACAACTAGTGTCACGTAGGTGCCCCATAAAATGTTATGTCAAATCTGGTCAATCGAAGACAAGACGGTTAACCGAATTTTACGTTTTTCAAGTTCAATTTTTAGGCACAACGGGCAAAATTTTTTACTTTCTAAACAACTTTTGACACTGTAGAACTTGCAAACAATTTCATCAAAAGCTTTTAAATCATTTAGAGCTTTCATTTGAGAATCTTATCTCTCTAAACTAAACCCATTGCTACAATTTCACTTGTAAATCTTATAGGTTGGGTTATTGAGAGTGTTATATCACCTCTGAGTTTTAGGTTTTTCTAGTGAGAGGAAGTAACTCTTAGAGATTGTGGGAGAGGTCTAATTGACACCTTAAAGTCAATCGGGTTGAAATGTTAGATATAACACTTGGTTGAAGACTAAGTGCGATAGTTGGAATCTTAAAAGGAAATTAATGAAAGAGTGGACATAGGGGGGTTTGCCGAACCATTATACATCGCGTGTTTGATTTCTCTATCCCTTCTCTCTTGATTTGTGCAATTAATTGTTTAAGATGTTTGTTTTCATATTTGCTCAAATTTCATGAAAATTGACTTAGCAATTTAGAAGGCAAAAATTGGGTAATCTTGTCTAAAATTTACAACACTATATTGAATCACATGGTACAAGGATTAACCATGAGGTGGGGTTAGTTGTAAGACATGGGTTACTTATATTGGAATGGATCATAGTACAAAGATTGACAATAAAACATGTTTACTTATCTTGAATCATAGTACAAGAATTGACCATGGAATACGGAAGATAACCATAGTCAAACTCATGGGTCATAAGTAGGAGTGTTCGGTTTCGGGTACCCTACATTTTTTTAAGGAATCGAAACCGAAACTAGAATCAACGATTCTTTGAAATTTGGAACCGCAACTGGAACTGACGTTTCCTGTTCTGGGTACTCAAAACTGGAACCTGTAACAACGGTTCCGATTCTAGGTACCCTACAAATTTATTACCCTCCAAAAGTTTTTAAAATGGCAAAAAAACCCTTAAAAACTTACAAATACCCCCCACCTGACACTTATTAACAAAAATAAAATTACAAACTTCATTACTTTGTAAAGGTAGAATTTCAAAAGTTAAACCAACTTACTTTAAATGTTATAAAATATAAACATAAATGTATCCACATTACTTTTTCTACAAAAGTTTTTACTAACCTTCCCACTCTTTAATTTTATTTCATATTAGTCTTGGTTTCCGGTTCTCGTTCCTGACTATAAGAACTGGAACAACACAGTGACTTTTTTTTTTTTTTGGTTTAACTTCTTTCCAAATTGCTAACTTCTTTCCAAGTATTCAAAACTTTGTGATTAAGTAAGCAAAAGTCACATTCGCATCACTAAATCCTTTTCATTTTTGACCTTACCCAATGCAATATTCTCATTCATTCACTTAAACCAATCTACATTCTCCATTTACAAAATAATAAATACCCCTATCATGGATCTTTTTTTTTTTTTTTTTTTTTTTAAATTTATAAAGAGGTGGGATTCCTTATTTATTTAATTATTATTTTTTAGGGAGATTTTTTATTTCCTAAGCAATCTCGCGCGTAGGACAAAAAAAATGAAAAAAACCATAAATTTGACCCATAAATTATAAGATAAGCTTTCCTCCCTATATGGGTTTAGTTTTAGTTTTGACATTGAGTGAGAACACACTTTTAAAAGTAACAAGTGATAGTATAATATAGCTTAAGGCATAAGGAATAAACATAGTACGAAGATATATTCTAAAATACTTGAGGTTTATATTTATTTTAAATATAATAACAACAAACAATATTATATTTAAAATGTACAACTTTTACTTTATTTATTCCTTAAATTTTGTTACTAAATTGAACTCAAAGTGACTATGTCTTAACTTTATTTTCACAACTTTATTAATCTGATCGAAAAAAAGATTATTAAATGGTATCTATCAATGGCGGGTACAATAGTAGTTTAGTGGACTAATGGCAGGGTTTCAATGGTGGGTACAATAGTAATTTAGATTTTAAACTTTTTTATCTTATTATTAAATAATTAAAATCTAAATAAATGGAAAATAAAATTTGAAACGAGGGCTAGGATTAAATTTGAAATTGAAAAATAAATGCTTATGATATTACATCCGACTCTGA